TTATTTTTTTTTTTTTTTTTTTTTTTTTTTTTTTTTTTTTTTTTTTTTGGTAGTACTGAGTGTTGAGCCCAGAGCCTTTGCACTGAACCACTTCACATCACTAAGTTGATAAATTGTTGAGGCTGGATGCAGTCTTTAAATCCTCCTGCCTCAGCCTCTCAGAGTGTTGGGATTATAGGTGTGACACATGCCTGGCTAAATAGGTTTGCAGTTTGTTGGCAGTTCCTTCTGCTATTTGGGCTGCTGTATTGAAGATTGTGAGACTTCATTCTGCCTAAGAGCAAAAGGGTCCCCAGATCTGTTTATGTCTTTCCTGAGTGTCTTGGATTTTCAAGCCCTCTGAGGAGGAGGCTTTCCTTAACAGAACTTGATTGCTGCTTAGCTTTAGTACATAAGCTGAGACACCTGCTTACCAAACAGGAATTCAGTCAACAACAGGGAGTGCTGCAAAGGGAATTAATGTGAATTGAGCAGGTCACCGCTGTGCTAGGTGTTTTACGTGAGCTGCTCCATAATCCCACCGGGGTGGTTTACTTAGGTGAGGAAAAGGAGACTTGCGGAAGTTCAGTGACTTCACACTCACTGCGAGAACGACTGAGCCACGTCTCACATTTATGTCTCTGCCTGTGAACGTTATTTTGAAACCTAAAAGCAGCCAGTAGTTAGTAAATGATAATAATGATTCCAAGCAGGGTGGCAGGAAGGGATAAAAGGTAAGAAGTGAACAGAGAGATCGTGATGGATTCTCAGGAGAGGAAATAGAATACTGGATGTGCGGGCAATAGAAAAACCTTGCCTGTGGTTTCACCCTTTGAACCCACCGCATTTTGTAGTATTTCTTGCTGTTTTTCCCCTATGCCAAGGTTTTTTTTTTGTTTGTTTTTTATCAAGGTTGTAGTTGTGATATGTATGTAGTTTTGTACTTTGCCCTATTTTAAATCTGATAAGCATTCTTTTTTTCTAGTTAGTACTTCATAAGGATATCAGCGATTCAATTAAAAATCCAGGTCACCTCCTTTCTTTACATAAAATTTCGGGCTGCAGGTGAACCACTGTTCTTGTCCTCCTGCTCCTAGAAATGGGTTTTTGATAATAAACTTTTTTAAAAATTTGTTTTCATTCTTTTTTTTTCTTTCTTTCTCTTAGTGCTGGGAGTCAAACCCAGGGTTTTGCACTGGTAGGCAAGTGCTCTGTACTGAACTCCATCCCTATCCCTGATGATCAAGACTTTTTGAAATGCTTGTTTCAGAGTCATTAAAACAAAACACTGGCTGAAATAGGAGGTAGTAAAGGATTTCCGAAAGGTCATTTCTTGGGCACCATAACTTTGTCTGTCTTGTGTGGGTCTTTGAGAGGAAGTTGTAATGAAATTATTTCCAACATCTTAAACTGTCCATGCCCCATAGCCCCAGGTTTGGCTGTCAGTGCCCAGCCTCCCACTGCTCACTGGTTCACCTGGCAGGTGTGTGTTGGGGACTGAATGGAGGTGAGGTGTGGGAAGATCCTGCAGTGGGAGAGGCTCCTCAGGCTTGGAGGACCTGCAAAGTGATCGCCCTGGTGCTGATGGGCAGTAGCCGTCGGTCCAGTTCTAGAACGTGGTGCTCAGCCAGGTTTGGAAAGATAGGCAGAAGTTGACACTTTCTGAAATGTCGTAGCAGTAAGCAAAAGTTTGAAATCAGTCATTCCTGTCAGTACTTACAGTGCTTTAAGATAAGTTCTATTGAAGCATAGAGTCCTGAGTTTGATCCCCGGTACCAAAAAAAAGATAAGTCCTTTTGAAATGTTGCCTTTTAAAAGTCAAAGGTTTATTAGTAAGTTACCTGTTTTCTTAGTGTGTCTTCACATGAGACAAAATTCTTCTGTGTAAATCCATGTCAAGATGGGCGTGGTGGCACAGGCCTGTAATCCCAGCACTCAGGAGGCTGAGGCAAGAGGATCACTGTGAGCTCAAGGCCAGCCTGGCCTACCTAGCTGAAGTCCAGCCTGAATGACACAGCAACACCCTGTCTCACAAAAGCAAAAAATAAATAAATTGATCTAAGGATGATATACTCTTATTGGAGATTGTAATTGCTTCCTAAATTGTGGGTAATTTAATTTTATACAGCTCATTTATAAGTTAGCTGTATTAAAAATGTTAGCTGTGTTAAAGTACTACTGTATTTGAAAATATTAAACTGCATTTAAACTTCTTACCTATTCTGGAAAGCAAATTTCACTTCATATTGTGGAGTCATTCTTGCTTCTCATTGACTGATGTATTTTTGAAATTATCAGAAAGGAATGATGGTAGCGAGCAAGAGAAATTAAACTTTGTCCCCAGTGTTTTCGTGGGATCAGCAGCACTGCATGGAGTCCCCGTTTACAGAACAGGCTTGGATACTCATTTTTCTAATCTCACTCTGTGAGCCATGCTTTATGGTCATAGGTGTGCTGTTGGCAGATTTACATTCTGTGCTTGAGATTTGCTTTTCCTTATAGTTT